ACGCTGTTGTGAGTGTGGACGGAGCAGCTACAGGTTAGTTTAGCCTGATCGATCCGCCCCCTCTCCAGCATGTCTTGTTTGAATGACAGGAGTAAACACTGACAGCTGCGGTGAAACTCGACAACAAAATGAACATATTGACCGTGATTTAATTGTAATACACGTTTCAAAGTGATGCCGAAGTAACTACATACTGATACCGGTTAGTAAAAACCATGAATTAATGCTTTGACAAGTCTGCAGACAAGACGGCAGGCGAAAAGCTTTTAAAATGCGTGTTTTCTGAATGGAATCGGATCCATCAGGCTAAACTAACCTGTAGCTGCTCCGTCCACACTCACAACAACGTCATACAGACATAAATAAAGCAGCGACTGTATTCACCATGACATATACAGTCTATGGTTTGTACTTGTTTAACTTTTGTCCCGTTTCTGAACAGATATGAGGAGCTGTGAGCTCTGAGTGTGTGCTAACAGCTAACGGCTGATGTGTTGGGACATATAGCTGTTAGCACACACTCAGAGCTCACAGCTCCTCATATCTGTTGAGAAACTGGACAAAAGTTAAACATGTACAAACCACAGACTGTATATGTCATGGCGAATACAGTCGCTGCTTTATTTATGTCTGTATGATGTTGTTGTGAGTGTGGACGGAGCAGCTACAGGTTAGTTTAGCCTGATCGATCCGATTCCATTCAGAAAACACGCATTTTAAAAGCTTTTCGCCTGCCGTCTTGTCTGCAGACTTGTCAAAGCATTAATTCATGGTTTTTACTAACCGGTATCAGTATGTAGTTACTTCGGCATCACTTTGAAACGTGTATTACAATTAAATCACGGTCAATATGTTCATTTTGTTGTAGTTGGTATCTCCCATAGGATTTACATGGAGATACGCCCCGCCCCCTCTCCAGCGCGTCTTGTTTGAATGACAGGAGCAAACACAGCTGACAGCCGCCGTGAAACTCGAGCGATTAGAGCGATGCGAATATTGGGTAGTCTACCATAGTATTTACATGGAGATAAGCCCCTTAAAAACCATGAATTAATAAAGCATTAATTAATGTTTTTTTCGCATCGCTCGAATCGCTCGAGTTTCACCGCAGCTGTCAGTGTTTACTCCTGTCATTCAAACAAGACATGCTGGAGAGGGGGCGGATCGATCAGGCTAAACTAACCTGTAGCTGCTCCGTCCACACTCACAACAGCGTCATACAGACATAAATAAAGCAGCGACTGTATTCGCCATGACATAGACAGTCTGTGGTTTGTACTTGTTTAACTTTTGTCCAGTTTCTGAACAGATATGAGGAGCTGTGAGCTCTGAGTGTGTGCTCACAGCTAACGGTTGATGTGTTGGGACATGTTGGCTGTCGGGTGCTGACCGATCACGAAGCGTCATTTCTTGACTGGCAGCAAAAACAACCAATCACAGCAGTGCTTCTCTGGCTGGCTCTGTCCAATCACAAACAAGAAGTGTTCTCCCTAAAGGAATACCCTTTCCGTCCAATGTGAAATGCTGTGGTGTTTTCTGAAGTGCTGTTGTGTTTTGTGAAATGCTGCGGCGTTTTCTGAAATGCTGTTGTGTTTTCTGAAATGCTGTTGTGTTTTGTGAAATGCTGCGGCGTTTTGTGAAATGCTGCGGCATTTTGTGAAATGCTGTTGTGTTTTGTGAAATGCTGCGGCGTTTTGTGAAATGCTGTTGTGTTTTCTGAAATGCTGCGGCGTTTTGTGAAATGCTGTGGTGTTTTCTGAAATGCTGTGGCGTTTTGTGAAATGCTGTTGTGTTTTCTGAAATGCTGTGGCGTTTTGTGAAATGCTGTGGTGTTTTCTGAAATGCTGTGGCGTTTTGTGAAATGCTGTTGTGTTTTCTGAAATGGTGTAGCGTTTTCTGAAATGCTGTTGTGTTTTCTGAAATGGTGTAGTGTTTTGTGAAATGCTGTGGTGTGTTGCACTTCCGGGCCACCGTACATTTACCCTTTATCTGAAACTTGGATGTTTTTTGTATTACCTTTTTTTCGTTCTCCAGTGGAACTTTTTCAGCACTAATATAGAGTTTCAATGCAATGGTGTTAGGGTTAGGGCTATCAAATCTAAAGACGCTGTTCCATATCTTCCTAGCTAACACTACTTGGAAGTTCACAGAAACCAGCCTTCTATTTTCATACGTTCATCTATCTTCATCCCTAAAACACGTTAATCTGACCATGAGGAAACACAATCTAATCCTGATCCACAAGACTACAAAGATAATTCTAGTGTTATGGGTTATCCATCTACATCAGTTCTTTCATTTGGCTTTTGGCATCAGGCTTAGGAGACTACAATTTCAATTCCAATGTTTTCTTAAAGAAATTGAACGTGCCTACACTCTCCTGAGTTTATGGTGACATTAAATATTAAATCTTGGCTTTCAAAATTCCATTTGGCTTGAGTTTCCAAGTATCACATATCAATAATATTTGATATTAAAGTCCTTGTTGTGGCAGTGTTGTAGTAAAATGTGTTACCCCACTGTGTGCCATCAAGGTCTGCTCAGTGGAGTGTGAGATATTGAATGTGACAGATGAAGGAACAGAAAAGATGGATGTCCCATTACTACCATCTGATCCATAATGTGCGAAACAACACAAGAGAAAATAGAAAGAGGAGATGTTGGTGATGAAGCAGTAACTTTACTGTTGAGGAAAGACAGTTATTGATGTATTGACTTTTAACATCTTACTGGCCCCTGTTTAAAGATATCGTGAGGATGGTCAAACCAAGTGGGAGGTATGCTGGTGAGCAGAGATGGGGTCGTTACTAAAAAAAAGTAATATATTACATATTACATATTACTTTAAAAAAAAAGTAATATATTACACTACATAAAGTAACTCGTTACTTTACTCATTACTTTACTCTCAGGGCCGGCCCGCCCCTCCCTACAGGCAGATCACGCAGACTGCTAAAGTTTCAAATGTTCTCTTTAGTTCAGTTTCCATTGTCGCATAAGACTGATCCAGATAGCTCTGACTATGGCTGTCCTCTGTCTCCTGCTATCTGTATTTTGCGCAGTATATCTCTGAACGATGCGATGGTGATTCCACTGTGCAAATGGGCAACATTACCTCTACTATGAAGGATGCTACAAGCCTGTCCATCTCTGCTTTGGTTACCGGTCCTCCAAATTCTAATTAGTGCTGCTTCGGAGTCGGCGGTTCGAGGTCCTTAGCTATTAGCTTCACCTTAGCATGTGTTCTTTGCAGGTGTTTGTTGAGGTTTGACGTGGTGTTTACAGCAGTGGATAACAGCTTCTGGCCTGGACACAGTTTGCACCTCACCGTCACATTCCTGTCTATTCTTCGGACGAACTCAAAATAATGGGCATACCTCCACCCCTCGAAAGTTATCGCTGACTCAGCCATGTTTATGCAGCACTGCACGCGGAGATGTGGACGCGCAAGTCGCGCAGATTACGTACATATAAACCTGCGGCGGAAACCCCTCTTGTCTGTCAGTGTGATTATGACTGATTTTATAAAAGTAACTAAGTAACGCGTGTCGGGGCAATGTTAGTAACTGTAGTGTGATTACTGAATTATAAAAGTAACGCGTTACACTACTCCGTTACCGACAAAAGTAATATTATTACAGTAACGCGTTAACGCCTTACACCCAACTCTGCTGGTGAGTTACCTTTAACCACAGATTTATGGTTTTATAAAGTGTGCCTTATAGCAACCTGCGAAGCTGTTGTGTTCTGAAACGGATTGAGCTGTCCCAGAGCGCTATAAGTTTGAATTATATCAACTTTGACCGTGTTTACCACTGACCTTTCAAAGCGCAACCAACAGATGAGAGCTGTATGTAGCAGGCTAGTAACCATATAAATGAAACTTAACCTGTTTTCACCGCAAGGTAAAGAGCACACAACGGCCCCAGAGTATTTTCTGAATGGAAAATGTGTTCGGTGAGAAATTCAGACATTAAACTTAACTCCTATTTGCAGTAGACGTTATACACAGATGGTTGATCCAATTACCTGCAACATTTTTCAAAGTGCCTACCATTTTGCAACAGTTTCTAATGATGGCTTCTCAGATGGTTCTGGATAACAAACCATCTGGCTTCTCAGGTTAGCGTTACACAGCAGTGCACTTCAATCTGGCTAGGTTTCTGCGCACAGGAAGTAGAGTCTCCATCTGATCCATGTCAATGATTATTAACAGTTTATGTTTGAAACTGGAATAGGAATAGTATTGACATTGGTCATCTTACTATTCTTTTTAGTCTTCTAAGTTTTGTACAAATTACTGAGATAAGTGAAGTAGCTCATAGCCCTTCTACGCTTACCGCCCTCTCCCTCCCACCCTCCATCTGAGAGAGAGACAGACAGACAGACGGACGGACGGACAAACAGACAGGAAATTGATTTGCCCAAAGGAGCAAAATATGGGGGGAAATAAGGGAAAAAGCAGGATAATTAAGCAATACAAAATAAAAGGTGAACAATTAAAAGATATACACAATAATAATAATAGTTTATACATATATAACTTGGGCTATGGTGTTAGAGAGTGCTGCATTATTGAGTGCATTAAAGTGTATGATACTGTGTGTGTGTGTGTGTGTGTGTGTGTGTGTGTGTGTGTGTGTGTGTGTGTGTGTGTGTGTGTGTGTGTGTGTGTGTGTGTGTGTGTGTGTGTGTGTGTGTGTGTGTGTGTGTGTGTGTGTGTGTGTGTGTGTGTGTGTGTGTGTGTAGGGGGGGGGGGGGGAATGAGTCCCCAGATTCATTATGAAAGGGGCCAGGTTGTATCAAATGTAAAAGTTTGGTGCTGACGTGCAATTCTTTCTGTAAGGAGGTTAACTATTGTGAGATGATAAACCTGATCAAACTTGTTCAGTTCAGCATCTGATCTTTCTTAAGGACAGTGCAAATATAAAAACAGAGCTGTTTCCCTCTTTTGGAAATACAAAGATCCTCGAAGAACTTAAACTGTTTCTTGTTTTCAGATAACCCCGGTATGGTGACTCACGTCCCTGTCACCATCCAGGTCCTGGACGTCAATGACAACATTCCAGCCATCGCCGGGGGCAACAGTGCCGTCATAGTGTGCGAGGGCACCAAATATGGGCAGGTGAGTATTTCCTTATGCTCAAGCTTAGAGAACAAAGAAACAGTCTGCTGGTGTTCGGTTGGATGTGGATGTGATGGCCTTACATTTGGAACAACCAAAAACATATAAATGTAGTTTTTACATATGTTGAGATAATTCAAATTAATTAATTATGATAGCAGGAAGGCTCTGATCTGCTCCAGAGAAGCTGCTGTCGCCTCACACACACTCACAAACAAAGATCACACACACTCCCTCTGTCTTACTGTAGGTGTTGCTCTCTCTAATGATCTGTACACATCCCTCTGTAGTTGTTATGCAAATGTCACTGTGAGCATGAATGAGTGTGTAATCATTTAGCTTGGCTTCAAGCTACAGGAAACACATAAAACACTACCAGGTTTGAGAGGGTTACTTGGTACTCCGTTACTATTGTAAAAACAAAGATATTCAGTCACCTAATCTGAGTTTCAAAATATAAAAGTAATTTAATCTGATTACTTTCTGTTAGTGTTGGACTACGTCAATATTAGGGCTGTCAGTCGATTAAAATATTTAATCGCGATTAATCGCATGATTGTCCATAGTTAATCGCGATAAATCGCAAATTAATCGCACATTTTTTATCTGTTCTAAATGTACCTTAGAGGGATATTTTTCAAGTTTTTAATACTCTTATCAACATATGAGTGGACAAATATGCTTTATATGTTTGTTTATTATCATTTGAACAATGACAAATATTCTCATGAATATTAAACACAACAACCTGAACATTACAAATATTCGCCTCAATTCAACCTGGAACCTCTCTCATACATTAATACAATACAAAGTGTGTGTGTGTGTGTGTGTGTGTGTGTGTGTGTGTGTGTGTGTGTGTGTGTGTGTGTGTGTGTGTGTGTGTGTGTGTGTGTGTGTGTGTGTGTGGAGACACTGTGATGGATCGTTGGAGCTATGTGCAGCTCAAGGCATATATGCTCGAACGGGAGCTGCCTGGACGCTGCAATCATGTTGCGCGCACTATCCGTGCTGAGTGTGCTGACTTTTCGTACAATGTCCCACTGTCTGGCTACCTGCATAAAGACAAGTGCTCGGCGCAGTTGTCGGCGAAATGTCGCTCCTCTGTTTTCATTGAAACAGCTCCTTATATCCGTTAGCGCAGCTAGCTAGCACCAGATGCTAACAACAACAACAACACGTAAGGTGTGCCCATAGGTATGAGGGGCCGTACAGGCCGTAATTCATACTGGTCCTCTCACGCACATACATTCTCCTTTTACATACATATATTTTCACTCTTACACACATATATTCTCCTTTTACATACATACATTTTCACTCTTACACACGTACATTCTCCTTTTACATACATACATTTTCACTCTTACACACATATATTCTCCTTTTACATACATACATTTTCACTCTTACACACGTACATTCTCCTTTTACATACATACATTTTCACTCTTACACACATATATTCTCTTTTTACATACATATATTTTCACTCTCACACACGTATATATTTACACTCACACATTCATACATTCTGCTCTCATATTATCATATTTCAATGCACACATTCATACATTGTCACTCACACATTTATAAGTTTTTCACTCACACATTTTTACATTTTGTTCTCATATTCATATATTTTAATGCTCATATTTATACATTTTGCTCTCATGCACATTCATTCAATGTTTACATTTAATATTATAAATAATATATGCATGTATGAAGACAATATATGTATGCAAGAGAAGAATGTATGTATGTGTGAAGACAATATATGTATGCAAGAGAAGAATGTATGTATGTGTGAGAGAAAGTATAGTGGAAACGGAAGGAGTATGGTTGAAACGGAAGGCAGGTCATTATCGCGCTGTGATTGGCTCAGAAGGTCGAGCGGGGCGGGCTCATGTTCAGAACTTCTGATTCAAATCAACATGATGGAGGGAGGTGAATCCGTGTATCTACGGACCATTTGTTTTTCTTTATTAAACAAGTAAACGGAAGAGTGTCTGCGAGGCGTTTTTGCTTTTTGTTTTTTACCTTACTAAATGGTCTAATGGTCATTGTAGCGAGGGGGGAGGGGGAGGGGGGGGGCGCGAAACTCGCGGAAGTGATTTCAAAACAAAAGCACTCCTTTGCTTGGAACGTTGATAATATTATAAACGAGGAGAAACAAGGTGAATTTAGCGATCACAACGAAAACGGCCAAGACACACATTGAGCCCAGAAAATGAATGTTATTAAGGGCTGTAAATATAATAAGTCTATGTCTAAAATGGACAACATTGTTAGGAGATTTAAACTATACAGCGATTCTGCACTGCGGTCACTCATGCCCCTTTCACACCAACGCAACTCCGGTTCAAGCTCCGTGCTAGAGCTTTTCTGGTTCAGAACCGGTTCTTCGGTTTAGCGCCGGCTCTTTTTACACCGCTCAGAGCCCGACTGGTGCTGCCGCTGCTGCGTCATGACGTCACAGTTTACGTCGCTGAGTTTCTCCCCAACGCCGGAGCTCACCTCACAATAACAACGGGCCGGGGACTGCGTTGCTTTTAATCATACGAAGCCAGATTAAATTAAATAACGACTTCTCCAACCTTATACTTTTCTCCAGAGTGCCGTGGTTCATTGTTTATTAATGTGTTTCAGCGGCATTTACCGACCGCTGCAGTGCTGGCTGCTCTTCAACGGGAGTGTATTCTCCCGTTAGCTCCGGGTTAGCTCACACGGCTCTAAAGTATTCACTGTCTGACTGTCACACAAGCAGCTGATACATATCCCCAGTTCCCCTTAAGTGAATGTGTGTCAGTCTGAATTGACGCTGTTTGGTGTCAGTCTGAATTGACGCTGTTTGGCATCACAACGCTGTTATGAAAGTTTCTCTGGTATAACATGGGTGATGTTAGCATAGCAACCGAAGCTAAACTGACTACTTGCTAAGCAGTTTTCTACAGGCACATTTTACCGACGTATTTTTCATTATGATTCTACTTGTGATAGTCGGACATGACAACCTGTGCAGCCCATGTATTGATTCCATCCGATAGCTGCTATAATAACAAACAAAACGTCTGCCTGCTCTCCACAATGATCAATAACAGCGAACGGATGGTCAAAGTAAGGTACAAATAAACAGAATCACACGAAGCCTGGTTAGTGTTGCCTGACTTTATAAAGTGTGTTTTTTTTAACAAGTGTGTGGTTGCGTTCTAGTCACTTTGCTCAGCACTACTGCTTGTTACAACTTTTATTTGCCGTACTCGCCTTAAGTGTTAGCTCAGGTTAATCTCGCCCCCCTCCGACGTAAGCGTGACGTATGCGGTTCTTGCTTCTAGACGGACAACTTTTTGGTGCTCGAAACGAACCGGATTCCGGAGCTATGACGCTGCTCCGCTGCGGTGTGAACAGGAAAACCCGGTGCTTTTCAAGCACCAGCACCGAACCGGCCCTGAAACACCGTTGGTGTGAAAGGGGTATCAGCCGTCTCTCCACTTTGTTTTTTCAAATCAGCTGCTCTTCATTTTTTTTTTACAAATATTTTTTACCGCAAGTTCTTAATAAAACTGACACTGTTGGACTCGGTATTATTTTGACTGCTACCAACAATAAAATGAAGTACTTTTTTTTTAGTAATCCTCTGTCAAAGTCCCCTCCTGAGTACTAGAATGCATGTTTCTCTACTATTTTGAATAAGCGTTAAAACACCTTTCTTCATGAGACTTATATTGTTGGACAGAGTATTTTAAGAGGATGGTAGACATGATATCAGCACTAGTACTGCAGCAGCAGCATTTTACACCATGCAAAGTCTTTAGAGTCTGGCCTGGACAGCTGGTCTATCCTTCAGCAAAGTGACACACCCTTGTGACTCTTGTTGGCTGCTGTCTTTTAAAATATGATTATTTCTCTGCTCCTAGTTAATTCCTCGCAGATTCTTCCACCAGTCCCAGTCATTGCATGTCAGAGCTTCGAAAAATGTGTCCAATTCAACTAAATGTTTTTTTGTGAGTGAAGGCCAGAGCTAAATTATAGATTGTTTGATTGTGTACGGTGAGAGAAAATAATTCCACATCCTCCTATGAAACTTTTTTTATTTACTTTTCCATTATACTTATACTTACTTGTATTAGACAGGGTTCTTATGGTCATTAAAAACCTGGAAAAGTCATGGAAATTCAAAATGCTAATTCCAGGCCCTGGAAAAGTTATGGAAAACAATATTTTCCCCAAAGTTTTGGAAAAGTCATGGAAATGTGACTAAAATTGCATCAAATATAATTTATATTTTATCTAATCGCCAAAATAGTAATACTATAATGATAATAAATACTGTATCGTATAGTAATGAAACGTAAAATGGCATTTAACTGACGAGGTATTTTGCTGGTGAGAGATTTTAGTTGCTTTAGCCTGTAGAAGCTAGTAAGCCTACTATTGGATTTGTTTTAGAAAGGGACAACATGTTTCAGACCCTATTTTCCTGTTCCATGTTAAAATAAACCATTTTCAGTGGTACCGCTGAGACAGAGTAATGTTTTTGGTCATGGAAAATTAGGTATAGGTCATGGAGAAGTCATGGAGAAGCATTGGTGAAAAAGTGTATGAACTCTGATTAGAACATTTGCATGTTGAACTACATGCTGGATATCTTCCCCAGCCTCAAGGAAATACAATAAAAATAAATGGATTCATAATTTTAAACAATTGATAAAAATGTATAAATGAATAATGTTTGGTGCAAACATTTCAAATTTAAATACAAAAGGAAAAAAAAGTTTACTTTTGAAATGATTTCTCACAAAAACCTTTCTAAATAGTAAATTATTAAAAAGCGTGTAGTCAATAGACGTTTTTCTGCCTAAAATAGTTTAAATTGAACGTAAACTATATCAAACACCACATCCATGGTAATTAACCCATTTTTGCCCGCTATTTAAATTGACTTTGGTTGAAGTTAATACAAATATTCATATTATATATATATATATATATATATA